GACAGACAGACAGAGGGACAGACAGAGGGACAAACAGACAGACAGACAGACAGACAGAGGGACAAACAGACAGACAGAGGGACAGACAGACAGAGGGACAGACAGACAGAGGGACAGACAGAGGGACAGACAGACAGACAGAGGGACAGACAGAGGGACAAACAGACAGACAGACAGACAGACAGAGGGACAAACAGACAGACAGAGGGACAGACAGACAGAGGGACAGACAGACAGAGGGACAGACAGAGGGACAAACAGACAGACAGAGGGACAGACAGAGGGACAAACAGACAGACAGACAGACAGACAGAGGGACATCAGATTAACAAGCTTAATTTTACTTAAAAAACAAACGAACACTTTAAACGTCTTGTTTCAGACGTTAAAGACGTAACGTAAAAAGTGTCTCGGCTTTCCGAGGGTTGAAAAATCTGAACATCAGTGACCTATGCTTGTCGTGATAGCCAATCAGCATTGAGATCCTCTGGGGATGTATGACACACAGTACGTACAGTTGGAAGTTCATTCATTGATTCAGCGATTTCACAAGTCAACACAAAATATTGTAGCGTTTAGATATGTTGTTTCTGTGAGTTTGGTGGTTCATCCAACCAGGTCAGGACCTCCACATCCAGCGTCTCCACCTGTACGATGGTGTGACAGTAGACACCTGAACACATTATATTCATCACTGTTACCAGTGTGGTTGTGATGTCGGTTGGATGAACCGCCAAAATCACCGAAACAAAATCAGAGACGTCTCATGTTAAACGCTAGATTATTTTGTGTTGACTCGCGTCCTATGCTCGTCGCTGAATCAATGAATGAGCTTCCGCCGGTACGTACTCGGCGTCATAAGTCCCTGGAGGATCTCAATGCTGATTGGCTATCGCGGTGTGAACTGGTCGCTGAAGTTCCGATTTTTCAACTCTCGCAAATTAGTGTATGACGTGAATTTGCACTTCTTGCTTTACTTGCTGCGCTTAATTTGTGTATTTCGCATCATTCGTGTCGTGTGCATCGCGCAGCCTGGCAGCAGTTCGCGTCTAGTCGTGTTTTTACATTGACTTTACGTGTAAGGGTTAGACTGAGTCTACCCGTGACCAACTCCCTGACCCCCTGACAGAACGGACTGATGCAGTCTGTGTTTGGTACCAGAGAGTCCTGGATGGTGAAGTTGAACATCTTCTTGGCGTCGTCCTTCAAAGTTTCGACGAACTGAAGATACTCTGGATTCTGAGGCTCCAGGTAGGTCAGCACCTTCACACTCTGACAGACAGACACACAGACACCTCAGTGAGACTCCTGCCCACAGACCCAGTTTTCAAACATGACTGGGCACTACCGTCACAGTGACATGTGACCCTGTGATGTCACCAGACCAACACACTTCAGCTTATTGGTTTGGTATCAGGCTGTACGTAGTGTACACAGTGTACTTACTACACTGTCACTCACCCTAAAGGCGTGGCGGGCGGCGAAGTCGTCCTGGTCTCCTCTGAACCAAGGCCTGACGGGGCCCGGCCCCCCCAGACCCTCAGCAAAGAGATCAATGAAGAAGAAGACATAGTCCTCCAGCTCCACCCCCTCCTTCCAGAACTGAACCATCAGAGTCCTGAGGATGTCCCAGGAGCAGCACAGGTACACCACTGAAGAAGAAGAGGACAAGAAGAAGAAGAAGAAGAAGAAGAAATGAGCGGAGGAGGTCTGACTGTGTTCATCTCCAGTTTCGTCCTCAGAGGGGAACTGTCCCTCACTGATGACCTCATCGCTCCCATCATTTGTCACCATGGTGATTATCACAGTCCACATCCCACCACACACACACACACACACACACACACACACACACACACAGAGGTAATTACTCAGTGCCCTCCAGCGTTGCCGGCTGCAACAGATGGCCTCACTTAGAGGACGACTGACACAATTACTGTGTGTGTGTGTGTGTGTGTGTGTGTGTGTGTGTGTGTGTGTGTGTGTGTAAAGCCTAGTTTATGCTCGACGCAGTTGCGAGTGCGCAGGGTTCACATGCTACAAATTACATAACCGCGCACCTGGCAACGACAGCTGCGCACGCTGGCGCTTCACGAGGTCGGGCACCTCCAGGATTTTGAAACTTTTCGCAAGCCGCACTAATGTTGCTCAGTTCAAAATGGATGAATTTGAGGGAAGACTAGCTGAAGTGCATCTCTTCATTTACAGCCCGCATTGGCTTCACAAGCTGGCTGTGTTCCCCAGTCAGATATCTCACTACATGTAACGGGCGGACAGACCATCTTCTTTTGCAACGTTTTGTCTGGTCAAAGCCATAAACATAACAATTCCTCCTCCTCTGCAATCCATACTTTTCGTGCTGCCATCATTGCTGTTTACATTGTTTTCCACTTGCTTTTACTACTTCCTATAGTATTTTTTCAATCCGCGAACAGAGCCGGGCGAAGGTATAACTGAGCCTTAACACTTTCTTTTAAAATGGCCACTCTGCTGTTTCCTGTAACTCCTGCTGTGTACTGCTGCTTCGGACACTGTTCACCCTTAACAGCCGCAATCTTGTAACAGATCAAACATATGACACAGCGTCTACGTATCGAACCATCAGTAATGTTTGTTGGGTCTGTGATGATTTGGTACTGCCAACAGTGATGCCAGTACTTGCTAGCTAATGTTAGCCTGTTGGCTTGCTGGCATTAGCTTGCTAGCCAATGTTAGTTACGAGTGCCAGGTAATGTTAGCACTCGCTAGCTAGCTAACTTGCTCATAGCTATGGATTTGAGACTACACTACCCTGCTGAAATTAGTGCACCACACAAGCAGTATGTAGTGTAAACACTGCACTACACTGAAGCGTACTGAGAGGAGCACGTAGCGTACACGCTGCACTACACTGAAGCGTACTGAGAGGAGCACGTAGCGTACATGCTGCACTACACCACTGCTGTGAATAGGGCAGCTGACAACAAGGGAAAGACCATGTGACTGCTTGGAAAGGCAGCTGACAGGAGGGAAAAGACCCCAAAGGTGCTACCATGGGTTAGCAACCCATGGTAGCAGTGGTGAGGCCTAGCAGCCTTACTACAACCAAAATTAGCTACAGCCAACATAGTCAGTGAGCGAGAGCTGGGTTGGAAAATGACTCACAGGTGGATTACACGGTAACAGACAATGGAACGGACACGACTATGACTTGGATCTGTGACTCAGTGAAGGATAGGGGCACGGACCTATCCAAGAAGACAGTTAAGAAAGCAGTGGAAAAAGGCTACAGAAGAAGAAAGGGAGGGAATTAAGGTGTTGCAAGAGGAGTTGAGAAGCAGGCTAGCAGTTCTTAGAAGGCAGAGCATCTCAGGAAAAAGAGGAGGAAGAAGGAATATGCTAGGACAGGTTTTTTCAGGGACCCTTTTAAGTTTGTTAAAGGATTGTTCAGCCAGGAAAAGGGAGGGCAGCTCAAAGCAGAAAGGTTAGAGGTTGAAGAATATTTGAGAAATACATATTCAGATTCAGAGAAGAATAGGATAGTAGGTTTTCCACTAGATATCCCTCCATTAGGAGGGATAGAGCATGAGATGGATGTCAGGCCACCTAGGTGGAAGGAAGTTCACGAGGTGGTCAGGCGTGCAAAGGCTTCTTCGGCCCCAGGGCCTAACGGAGTCCCCTACCGGGTTTATAAAAGTGCACCTGATACCCTTAAATTTTTTTGGAAACAGCTAAGAATAGTTTGGGAGAAACAAATTATACCAAGAGCTAGGGCTGGGCGGTATGACCTAAAATTCATATCACGGTATAAATTGAATCCCTTCACGGTAACGGTATATATCGCGATATAAATTTAAGTGTAAAAGTTATAATAGAAGTGTTTCTGAATGGGTTTTGTAGTCCCTTAGCAAAGCTAAATTGATAAAAAAAAA